GGGCATGGGTGAGGGGGTTGTCAGGGCGCCGGGGCGTTGGTGGGGTTGCGTTTGGGGGCGAATGGGACTGCAAATGGGACTGCGAACATGGCCACTTGGGAGTGTGGGGGACGTGCATCAGGAGGGCATGGAGGGCGCGTGTTTTCGGGCGGCAACAAGGAGTGGCTGACGACCGCGGAGGGGTGTGTGTGTGTGTGTGTGTGTATGGAGACATCAGTCGAGGACAGCCCTGGCCCGGAAATCTTGAGGGCGGGGGATGCCGTCAGAGCGCGTGCGCGCACCTGTTGTCAAAGTCCTCTCCGCCCAGGTGGGTATCACCGGCGGTGGCCTTGACCTCGAAGATGCCATCGTCGATGGACAGCAGCGACACATCAAACGTGCCTGGAAAAACAGGGAGGGGGACGTTGTGGGGGCAGGATCAGCAGGCCAGCGGGACAGGAGTTGCGAATAGATTGCAGGGGTTTGTGAATAGGTTCGCAAAAGGTAGCCTTAGGCGTCCCCACGCGGCCCGCGCCCGCCAGGCGCCAGGCCCTACCCCATCAGACCCGCACGGCGCCCGGCCACCCACCGCCGCCGAGGTCGAAGATGAGCACGTTCTTTTCGCCGGCCGAGCCACCGCCGGCCTTCTTGTCCAGGCCGTACGCGATGGCGGCCGCGGTGGGCTCGTTGATGATGCGCAGCACCTCCAGGCCGGCGATGGTGCCGGCGTCCTTGGTGGCCTGGCGCTGGCTGTCGTTGAAGTAGGCGGGGACAGTCACCACGGCCTTCTTGATGGGCTTGTCGGCGCCCAGGAACGCCTGGGAGCGCGGAGCGGTGGCGGCGGAGAGGGGCGGCGGGTGAGACGGGGGCTCAGGGGGTGGGCGCATCACAACCACGGGCGCCGCCGCCAGCACAAGGACACGTCGCGTCGCGCAGCGCCGGCGCGGCTGCCCGTCGGCGCTGTCCCGCCTGCAGAACCCACTCTGCTCCTTCTGCGCAACATTGCCCCATCTGTCGCCGCATGTATGCAGTGCACAGACCCTGTCCCGCCGGACTGCTGCCAGGCCCATGGGCGCACCTGGGCCGTCTCCCTCATCTTGGTGAGCACCATGGCGCTGATCTCCTCAGGGCTGAACGTCTTGGTCTCGTTTTTGTACAGAACCTCGATCATGGGCTTGTCGCCGGCCCCGGGCTGCGGAGCGGGGAGCAATGGGGTGGGCAGGGGGGGGGAGCATCGTGCACACGTCAAGGGGCGGCCAGGCAATCTCAGACAGGGCCGATTGCTCTGCTGCATGCACGCATGCCACCGACCAGCATCCTGCTACCTCGATTTGCTCTGCCACCCACAGTCCAGGAATTCCCCTGCAATATGTAGATATGACTCAATCATGACACACCCCCACCCCCACACATCGTCACCCGACAGCAACGCAGCTGCAGGGTGTCGCGCGGGGTGACTCGGGCGGGAGCACACCTTGACAGTGAACGAGAAGTGCTTGATGTCGTCCTGCACCGCGGCCTCGCTGAACTTGCGCCCGATCAGGCGCTTGGCGTCAAACACTGTGTTCTTGGGGTTCATCGCCACCTATTGATGGGGCCAGGGCAGGACAGGTGGACGGTTATGAGCGGGACAGGTGAGGGGCCGCAGGGAAGATTGGGTGGGGCGCGGGCTGCCTGATGAATGGGGGTGAGTGGGAGGGGAAAGCCAGGGGATGAGAGCGCCGGCTGCAAGCATGCGCGCCGCGGAAGCTGCTAGACGGGCGCGCCCAAGAACGACCGCCCCGGAACCACCCCAGAAGCAAGGGCGGAGACCCGGCACCAGGCGGGCGGCGCCGCGCACCTGGTTCTTGGCGGCGTCGCCGATGAGGCGCTCAGTGTCAGTGAACGCGACATAGGAGGGCGTCGTGCGGTTGCCCTGGTCGTTGGCAATGATCTCCACGCGGTCATTCTGCCACACGCCCACACACGAGTCTGGGAAGGGCAAGGATAGGGGTTGGGCACACATACGTCGTCAGGGACGATACAGGGGCGAGACGAGTGGGATTGGAGGGGCAAGAGTTGCATGCTGCGCAGCCGTGGTGTGCCGCGGCGGCGCGACGCGCCGCCCCCTCATTCTGGGCGTGCCACCGGAAGGTGCTTCCGGCACGCTGGGCCGCCAAGGCGATCTTTGCGGCGAACGCCTGCTGCCGCGCGGCCCATGCGCTAATGGGTTCAATACACTCTCAAAGCCTATCCCCAGGTGCTCACAGGTCGTGCCCAAGTCGATCCCGATTGCATTGCCTTCGCGGCTCATGGTTGCTGTTGTTTCGCGCTTGTGTGAGGTGGATGCAAGGATGGCAGATGGGCGTTGAATATACGATGTTCGAAAGCACACGGCGAGACCAGTGCGGCGATTTTATGGTCTTGCGCCTCCGTCACCGAGACAACTAGAAGGTACTAGTGGGTCGTCGGGAGGTCTTCGGCACGTTCTGGAGCTTTGATGCTCCCTAGAATAATCTTATTGTTTTGTCAGAATGTCACGTACCTGAAGGGTGCATGAGCTCGTATCAACGTCCCTGATACGCCTGGCCTCAGCGGCCATGGGTTTTGTCCATGGGTAGCTGACATTGTTCGGGAAAAGGGTTCTCTGACACCGCACCGAGCCTGCACGCATGCTGCTGCGTCAGTTGCACAACTGTCAACCCGGTCTGCGCGTGCCGCAAAGGGCGCGCCGCAATGCCAATGCGGGCAGTCCGCGGATGCATGGCAGGCATCATGATTTGCAGCTTGCCAGGCTCGATCCCCCTTGAGCACGCAAGCAGCTGTTAGGTGGTCGTATGTATATCACCCGGATTGTAATGCGGATACGTGCTGCAGCACGTGTTGCCCTCCCACCAACTGCCACGATGCGTGGTGGTCCTGCATAGCTTTGAAGCATGCACTGGGGCAAGGGCATTGTCAACTGGGGCACAATGACATCGTATGTACCTTGAATTCGGGCACTTCAACACTAATCACACCTCTAGTAAGACACCAGCACAGGTGCACATCCAGCCCGCCGGCAGCTGTCCTGCATACAGTCAGAACTCGGCAGCAGCAGCAGCAGCAGCAGCAGCAGGGTGCCACTAGCTAGCAGGTGGCAGCCAGCAGCAGCAGTGCGTCTAGCGTGCTGTGAGCAGGGCATCATGGAAAAGATTCAGCAAATTCGCTCGCTCCCTCCCCAGTTGTCCTCAGCGGCGCTATGGGGCGGCTGCGGTTGATTGCAGCTCACACAAGATCACCTGCAGGGCACCTGTGGAGCGTGCGACTTGCAGGCAGTGGCCAGCATTTCAACAAATGCTGCTTGGTGTAACATCCGCACAGATCTGCGGGCGCTGTTAGTTTTCGTACTGCACAGCTGCAGCAGTCAGCATCCTGCACGGCACAACGCTCTGAACACAGGCCGCAGGCGGTCTAGAGTAGCTATGTGATTGCATTTCAGCCTGGGAATTGCAGTTCGCCTTTTGCCCCCAGATCTGTGCCAGGCTGGGCGGCGCTGGAGCGATTGCTTGTGTTCTGCGCCGCCTCATGGCATCAGCAGACGTGTCCAGTGAGTATTCTGAGTGTCCGTGGTGACTTTGGAAGGCAATCAACTACTGCCCTGCTTGCTTGACCGTGTCCGCCGCAGGGGCGGCACTCTGGACCACTTGAGAAGTTGTCATGCTGATGCAGGAGGCGCCTGGGATCAAACGGGGAGGGTGCGGTATCACGGCCAGCCGATGGGCCGTATTGATTTTGAGCGCATTTTTAATTTACAAAAGCTTGACGGCGAGCGCGCTGCTTGCTGTTGACCAGCCGCGATCACGGGTCCCGATGTAAGCCGCGATCCTGTTGACCTGAGAGCTAGGCAATGTCGCTGCACAGAAGTCGAGAGTGGGAGGCAGCGCGCATCGTCGCCGCCCGGCACACTGCCGCAGCTGATGCTGACGCTCGCACCAGCATCAAGGGTGGCGAACAGGATGGCGGCGAGCACCTCGAGGGCAGCCACATACCACATCAGGTGCGAACGATCAGAATGACCCAATCATGCACGGAGGTTTGCCCATCTTCCTTGCGGCAGCCGCTCCATGTTGCTGCCTGTTCCGCTGGGTCGGGGGGTGTGATGCCTGTGCTGCGCCCCCTTATGGCATCCCTTGCACTGCTCAGCATTCACCTTGCACTGCGCTCCACAGGCGCCGCAGCGCGAGCGCGTGTCAATCAGCACGTCCATCAGCTGCCTGCGCGCCTCGAAGCGTCGCGCCGCGCAGCTGCAGCTGCAGCAGCAACAGCAGCAGCAGCAACAACAACAGCACGCGCAGCAGCCCTGGCGCCTCGGCGGTTGGGGCGCCGGCGTCCCAGCGGCGGTCGCGGGCGCCGAGATGGGCGGTGCTGCTCCAGAAGTGCCTGACAATCCAGGGAACACAGCAGGCGGCGGCGGTGGCGGCGGAAGCTGGCGGGAAGCCGACATGCCGACACTGATGAAATTGCTTGAGCCAAACATTGTGTGGCGCAACCCTGGCGCTGTGGCACGGGTGTGTGGAGAGCTCGCTGCAGCGCATCCGCAACGCGCACGCTTGCAAACACACACAAACACACACACACACACACACACACACACACACACACACACACACACACCACACGCACGCACGCACGCACGCACACACGCGTGCGCACACACACACACACTTGCCTGAGAATGAGGCCAGTCTCAGATACACTTCCGATGTGCTGCTGGGGTCGCTGTCGGAGACGGCGCGCTTCAATCGAACAGACTGCCCCCTGCACTCGCGCCCCGAACGCGCCAACCCGCGTGCGGACGCGCAGCCGCAGTCTGCTGGTGGCGGTGTGCGCAGGCGGTCCCCAGCCCCCTCTCCCTGTGCGGGCGAATTCTTCGCCGGCGTCGACGGCGCCGGGCGGCAGGTGCACCTCGCGTGGTATCCGGGGTCCTTGATCCTTCTTATCTTCTGCATGCAGAGTGGCTGATCGCTTTCAAAGTTAACAGCATGCGTCTCGATCGAGCCGCTGCGCTTGAAATCCCGTTGCACAATATCAGGCTGAAGACCTGCACGCCGCCCCCGCTAGAGGTTCGATGCAACCTGCACGAGCATCTGTGTCACCGCCACGCATCCGCGCCACGTTTCCCCCACATACGCAAAATCCAAGGCGCACGGCGTCTACGAGGGGTCCTATTGGACGCTGCTCGCTGAGCTGGCGGACCTGGAGGCGGCGCTGCAGCGGCTGACGCGCGCCCCGCAGCTGCAGGAGGAGCCGCGGCTGGAGCTGCCGCCGCCGCCGCTGCCGCTCACGTGCGTCCGCCCGCTGGGGCGGCCGCGCGACCGCGCGAGGCGCCGTGGTTTGCGGCTTTTGCGGGCTGATGCCGCCGGCGGTGGGACACTTGGTGTCTCAATGGATTCGGGGCGTGTGTCAAGCAAGGGAAGCTGGTGTGGGGTCATAGTGCACATGAATTGCATGCAGCGCTCGGCAGCGCCACTGGGGCGGCCCACTCCACATGCAATTCCGGCCCCAGGACACCTATTCAGGCAGATTCAACTTGCCCTGGCTCGTCCAAACCCATCGGCCCGCAGGTGGGAGGCGTTCAAGCCCCCCGCGCTGCCGCCTCCCCCGGCGCCGCCGCCGCCGCCGCCCCTGGTACTCCCCATGTTTCAAGAGCCAGTACTCCCCTCCGACGCCGGCCCCCCGCCGCCAGAATTGCTGCCCGTCCCGGCAGCGCCGCGGCCATTCAAGGACGCGCCTCTGCCAGAGTTCTGCCCTCCGCCCCCGCCAGAAGCGCCGCCGTTCCAGGCGCCGCCGCTCGCGCTGCCGCCGGCGCCGGCGCAGCGGGAGGCGCCGCGGCCGCCGGCGTTTGGGAACCCGAGGTTTGGGTACGACTGGAGTGGGGAGCGGCCGTTCAAGGTGGGCAGCAGGAGTTGGTTTGCACAGAGGGCAGCAGCGGGGTTGGAGCGCCTGCTACACAGCTAGCCTGGCGGGTGGGGGGGAAGGGTTTTGAGCTGTGCGCAGGGTTGATTCGCAGAGCCTGAATCTACTGCATGTCTTACATGACCAAATGCAACACGCATGAGGCACAGGCTGGCTGCCATACGCATGATGATGTGCTACTAGCAGCACTTGCTGCCATCTCAGTGACGAGATGAACCCTCATCAACAACACCACCTGCACCCCTCCCGCTCGCAGGTGCCGCGGCCCGCCTACATCCCGCCCCGCCTGCTGCCGCAGCCGCCGGACCCGGAGTCCGTCGCGCCGCCCCCACCGCCCCCGCAACAAGACGCGCCGCCAGCCGCGCCCGCGGCGGCGGCGGCGGACATTCACATTGAGGCCACGCCTGTGGTGGTGCTGTCGTTTCCGGACGAGCCGGCTGTGGGCGGCAGCGGGGCTGGGGACATGGGCATGCCTCAGGAGCGGCAGCCGCCAGAGGCGTCCTCAGAGGTGCTAGTGGCTGGAATTGTCGCACATGCATCGGTCGAGGCGAGCAACGCAGTAGATGAGGGGATTGCAGAGGATGAGGTCGGGGCCGGACGGGAGGGGGATGAGGACGAGGGGGAAGGCGCGTCGCCGCTGCAGCTCGTGCCGTCGGTGGTGCTCGCCGCCTCGTCGCGCCCGGCGTCCGCGGCGACGAAGGCTGCGGCGGCGGCAAAGGCTGCGGCGCCCGGGCGCGCGACGGATGCCTCTGGCGGCAGCCGCGCAGCCTCCGCGCGGCGGCCGCTGGCGCACCTGAGCGCCAGGGAGCTGGAGGAGCAGTGGGCCGCGGCGACGCACCGCAGCGATGACGTCACCACAGCCGCCCCTGCCGCGCCCGCAACGGCGGGCATGCCGGCCGCACGCGCCCCGGCTGTGGCAGCGGTGGGCGGGGCAGCGGGGCCGGCGGCGGAGCCGATGGTTTGGCTGAGTTTCGCGGCGCCGTTTGCGGAGCCGCCGCCGCTCGCTCTGCCGCCGAGGCCAGAGGCCGGGCCAGAGCCTGAATACCAGCAGCCGGCGCTCGAGCCCGGTCCGGCGCCATTTGTGGCGCCGGCTGAGCAGGTGGGTCGGCTGGGGGTCCGGGGCCTGGGCCTGTTTGCCGCTTAGGCGCAGGCCTGAAGCTAAAGGCTGGAGGGAACTGTCAGAACGATTGTATCGTGTCCCTGCTCAATGCACTCGACCTTGGCTTTCCTAGCCGCTTTGCGAACGCCGCACCGCGATCCACCCCCGCCAACAAAAAAACGCCGCAGGCCTTGCCTGAGTGGCGGCCGCCAGAGGCCGCGCTACCTCGGTTTGTGCCGCCCCTAGAGCCGCAGCCGATCGGCTTTTTGCGGAGCTCAGCACCAGTGATTGTCCTGGATGTGAGCGGCACCATGCACCCAAGCAGGTGCGCCTTGAAGAAAGCAGTGTGTGCTCCAATGACGCCTTTTCTAGGTGTCAAGGCAGCAAAAAAACGGCTGCTCGTGCATGCATATGCCTTGCATCAAAGTTGGAGGAGGTGGGCATGTTTGAGGGGCTGAGCGAGGGCCGGCGTATTCTGTGCAGTGCCAGTCTGTTGCATTGCAAGACGCCCTGCGCGCCAGCCACTGCACGTACACACCTGCGCGCCCCCACCTGCCCGCACCTGCGGACCCCGCGCACGCGCCCCCGCGCAGGCGCGGGCAGTTCGTGCGCCTCAAGGCGTGCGTCTGTGAGCTGCTGGCTCCGGAAGGTGGGCAGGCGCGGGTGGGGGCAAGGCCGCGTCCCGCGTGTCTGCAACCGCAGGGTCTTGGGACAGCAAGTAGGGGCAGGCGCCGACACCACAAACACACATGGCATGCCAGTGACGGCGCCTCTCTTGCGCAAATCCCGAGCCCGCCCACGTGACCGCATGGACACTGCTCTCCGGCGGCCCGACACGTGGCTTGCCGGATCCCTTCGCCACCAACGCAGCCTTCCGGCTGTCCTTTTTTGGCCATGGTTGGTGAACGCTCGCAGTCCCGGTGATACCAAACGCCATCCGTCACTGCCAACCGCCCACACACTGACGCAAACCCCAAACCCTGCCCCCGTCCAGGGGAGATGGCCACCGCGGCGGTGGCTTTTGAGGTGGTGGCGTTTTCCGGCGGCGTCTGGTCGTGGTCGGCGGCGTACACAGCCAAGAAGGCGCTGCTTGCCTCCACTGAGACCCACCACGCTGGCCGCCAGGCGGGCGGCCGCCCGCCGAGCGCCGGGCAGCGGCGGCCGGCGGG